CCACTTCTTGCTGAGCCCTCACAGTGGGAGAGAGGGATGCCGCCCGCTGCAGTGACAATAGCTGGCCCCTCCACGGCATCCTTCTGCCTACCACACCATCTAAGCATGTGGGTCAGGTCCGGGGACTGGTGGGTAGGGGGGCATTCCTGCCACCCTCTCTGGACCTCCCTTCAGGGGACTCGGAGTCACTGGTTATGGGGGTTTGGTGGCTGTCCTGCCCAGGGGGAGCACAGAAAAGCACTTCTGCCATGAGCTGGAGGTGGCCCTGGACAGGCTGCCTTTGGTGGAGAAGCAGAGTGATGGCCCCTCAGCTTTCAGGGGATGCACTGCCCTCTGGGGGTACCCAAGGGTGCGAGGAAACCTCAGAGGGGAACTCCATTTCTGAGGGTTGGCGTGGAGGTGCAGCCAGTGCCAGGCACTCCCCTTGGCAACTTCCCCCTCCATCTTGAGAGAAAGGCCTGTGGCTCACCTCCCACCTTCTAGGGGCAACCCCTCTGGTGGTGGGCAGGCAGTTGATGCTACAGGTATCTGGCCCATGTCCTCAGCACTGTGCCCTGAAAGCCTCTCCCAACTTAGAGTTCAGAAGATCTGGTTCCTGGGTGGAGGGAGAGAGGCCCTTGGAGAGGGTGGGGAGGGGCATGGGGAGGGGAGCGCAGGCAGTCTGCCCGCACAGCTCTAAGGCAACACCTGGCAGAGCGGGCCGGCACCTGTAGGAGGCAGACGCTCATTCTTCACCCTCGAAGCCCAGCCCTGGCTCCTCTGCCTCTGGGCGGGGAGAGAGGAGAGGGAAGGGCTGGGCAGCTGTGAAATGCTGCCCTCAGGCCAAGGCAGGGTCATGGTCCAGGCACTGTCCTCTGTGTGTGCAGAGGACAAGCCCTATAGTGAAGGCTCTGGGCATGGTAGGATGTGCAGCTGACATGTTTAGCACCCCGGGCACAACAGCTCTTTGTAGACAACAATGAAGCCTTTCAGGAATGCCAAGGCCTGAGCCGATCCCCACCCCAGGCAATGGGCAATGGCACTTCTGCTCATTCCTGTTGTGTGAGCCCTGCCAGGGCAGGAGCAGGCAGGAGACACTGAACAAGGGCTAGCCATGGCTGCTAGGCTCTCCCCTGGTCCTCCCCAGGGGAGAAAGAGTAGTGGGCTCATCTCTGGGAGTCCCACGGCAGCTTGGGCAACCTGTTGGGTTGGGCTTTCTTGGGCCCATCTGCAGTAGGAATGTGGGGGACAGCTTGGGCCATCTCATGAAGAGATACAAGCTTTAACTTCAGAGGGACTTGCCAGGGAGCCCAGTAAGATTTCAGAGAACTTACTTATCCCTAAATATCAACTGCCCAGTCACTTACATTTCCCCCAACAGAATGGCCCCTTGACCTCAGTCCTTCACTCATCATTGTCATGGGGCAGAGGGAGCTCTTTAGAGAGGTCAGTCAAGACCAACCCCTTCCCAGGGTGTTAACATCTGCTGTCCCTCTAACATGAAATAGAATTTAAACATAAATGAAAAGAACAACAGAAATGTAAGTACAGCTGCAGAGGTGCCGTCTTCCCCTCCCTGCTCTGAGCTCCAACCTCTTGGATATTTATTGTTCCTTCTCCCCTAAATCATTCCTGACGGCTGGACTGCTTGCACTCCATCACAGGGAGAGGCTGTGCGGAGCCGCAGTTCCGTTTAGCTTGCAGAAAAAGGAGCCTCCTAGGAAAAACCCACCCGGGAGCTGTCCGGTGCTGAACTCCGGCGTGATGGACGATTATGGACCATCTGCACTTTCAGAGGGGGATAGATTTATGAGCGGGAGAGACAGCTAGAAGAGTGTCCATTACTATAACTCACTGCCCTCTTCAGAGATATTCTAATCAGGCGTCTTCTCCTCCTGCCGAAAAGCCCAGGTTAAGAACTGGCAAGAGGTGAGATCAATTACATATTTCTGGGGTGCTTCCTTCCCAGAACAAGGCTGTCAAAAGCCCTAGGGACAAGGGCATCAGGAGGTCAGGGCGGGAGCCACTGATGGAGGGACCCTTTGCCTGGCAAGGCAGGTTCCTGGTCACGTTTCCCAGGGCTCCCTGTCTCACCTCAGCTCCTGGTTTCTTGCAACTGGTGTTGAAAAGATAGAAGAAGCCAGTATGCCTCTTCTTTCTCAGCCCCTGCATGGACCTACTTGAGATTTACCAACAACCAGGAATCATGCAGAGGGTGCAGCAAAGATCTAGGTCTTCCTGGTAGGCTGTGTGGTTTGATATTTATGTGCATGGGGAAAGGAAAGGAGTATGGTCAGGTCCTGAGCTGGATGCCTTCTGTACATTGATTCAGAGGAACCTTATTTCTGCTTTACAGGTGAAAGAACTACAGTCCATGGCATTATGTGACAGGGCCTCTGGCCTCCCTTGCCTTGGTCCTCCCTTGCCTACTGCCTGAAGGCCCAGATGACAAGGCGGAGATGCACAGGGAACTTCTCACTGGCCCTCTAAGGCTGACACCCCCCCCCCCAAAGCCCCTCCATCAGGACCCCCCTGGCTCTTCTCCAGTGGGCTCCCACTCCCTCAGAGGGCCCTGTAGTGAGGAAGTGAACTGAATGCTGTGGGCCCCAGCTCCCAAGAAAAAACCCCTACACACAGACAAACAGCCCCTTCATTTCTGCTTCAGAGTTCACTTCTTTCTACTTCAGAATTCACAGAGTATTTTGACACTGGCCTAATCTGACCACAGCCTTTGTATTAGATAAAACAGATATTTTTAATCCTCATTTTAAAGGTGACACGGTTAAGGGGCTTCCCTGAGGCTGCAGAGATAACCAGCAGTTGAGCCAGTATCAAGCCCTCATCTCCTGGCTCTGTGTCCGGGGCCTTTCTGGCCTCTGCCTGCCTGCCTGCCTTCCCAGGAGGCTGCCCTGGGCACAGACACCCTTGGGAATTTCCTCCCTCGGGGACCTGCCTTCTCCTAGGCTCTCCTCTAAATTCGAATCTTGTCTCCCTGATTCCACCCACTCTGGGGTAGTTTGAAATCACCCAGCTCACTGGCAGAGCCTTTGAGAACTCACCTGGGTGCAGGCTCTGAGACTGATCAAAGACCCTGCATATCAGGAAGTGCCCCCTCCTGCCAGGACCCTGCCATTCATTCTCTGAGAGGGTGAGCCAGGGACCTGTGTGATGACGTGGAGCTCAGCAGTAGGACCAGCTCTCAAGAATCCTGGAGTCAGGTCTTAACTGGGACAAAATCAGGCTGTGGCTGAAAACAGCAGAAGTTCAGCTTGTTCTTCTGCTGCTTTTATTTATTTCTATTTATCTTAAAAAAAAAAACCCCACAAAGCTACAATTTTACCTGCTTCACCCTGGGAGCTCACCTATAGCCTTTTCACCTGGAAAAAGCCTTCTATTCTTGCCAAGCCCCCCCATCCCAGTCACTCATTTTTTCCACCACTCACTTGACCATGCTCATATGGAGGGCAGGACCCTACCTTGCACTGGGCGGTCGGGAAAAGCATTCTGCAGGAGGTTGAATGTGAAATGACCTGGATCTTAGAGGGCCTGGAAGGGGATCAGGTGAGGAAGGAGGGTGGGAGGGCTCTGTCTTGTGGAGGCAAGGTGGGCAGCAAGTGCAGCATGCCATCCACATGTGTGTGGAGCAAAGAGAGGATGAGGTCGGATTGGTGAGCAGGGCAAGCACCCCTTTTTAATATAAAGCCTTATAGGCCTGTTGCCCTAGGAGATGGCTGCTCTCTGCAGAGGACTTGGGGCACTGGGCTGCCCTGTGCAGGCCACGCTGTCCATCGCAGCGGATCTGATGGAGGGCCTGTCTCTGGACCAGTGTGTCCAACAGATGGTGCCATCACAAAGATGCTCTGTGGCTGAAAGGTGGCCAGTGTGCCTGAGGACCTGAGGACACTAATTCATTTAAATTCATTTACGTTTAAATGGCCACTGTTTTAACTAGTTTGGCTCTGGAGGTGAGCTGCCCAGACAGCCTCAGGGTCTCACACTGCCTGACCTCACTGACCGCTGGCTGAGAGCAGCTGTGGCCAAGACCCTCATGTTCTAAAAGCTTTGTTGTGAAGCCTGAGCCATGGGAGGAGGCGTGTATCGCTCTCCAGCCTGAGACATTTTGCTTCACCTGTGAAAACAGCATCCACTTGATGAATGGCCAGTGCCTGCACTTTGTGAAATTAAATTCTTGGCTTGGACAGAGCAGCATGGGGATAACCACGGCTGTACCCGTAACAGGGGCAGGGCAGCAGGGCACTAGGCAGCAAAGGGCTCAGAGTCCTAGCCCTGACAGCTCCCACATGAAGGCAAGGCAGGCAGATAACTACATCAGCAGGTGCCCCAGGCATTGGCTGGAGGGGAGCAGGAAAGAAATCAAGAACGTTAGTACAAGAAAAGAGCTGTGCAGCAGGGAGGGATGGTACTCACGTCACCCATCACAACCCAGACTCTGGCCCCTGGTACACTGTCACCCCCAGGAAAGTGTCTCTCCAGGGCACATTCACATCAGCTCTGACCTTCCCACTCCTCCTGCCTCAGACACACAAGAATTTATGCGCCCCTGTTATTTCCAGCTCAGCTCTGCTCTCCATGGAAACCAATTCCCCTCCTGCTTCATTATTATTATTATTATCTTCATTAACGCTTGATAGAATGCAGTGTCCATTATGGCCATCCTGGGAACTCCTATAAAGTGCCATTCCCCAAACCCACCCTCCGCCCCAGCCAAACTGCAGGTGATCCCGTCCTCAGCTGTGGAGCGGAGAGGGGGGGTGGGAGTTGGGGTGATGAGAGTGCCTCGTCCTTTATGCCTCTTCTCACACAGTAAAAATTACTGCCAACAATATACGGTCATGCTGTAAACTCAGATCACCTCTGAGAACTTGCCTCATTACTACCCCCACTATATAGTCTGGCAGTTACTCTAAACCTGGCCTCCTCGCCTCCTTCTCCCTGCAAGGAGGTTTGCAGACCCCATGGGGGCTCTAAAGAGTGGCCTCTGGTCCCTGACTCTCACTCACAAGGCCTGGAAGGCCAGAGTCCACCGTGGCCCAATGGCCGTCCCCTGGGTGAATCTTTGGGAGATGCAGAGAATCCGAATGAACATTCAAGTGTCCCTGTCCACTTGTGCGCCAGATTCACTCCTTGCTCATCCCAGAAACATCCATTTATGCTGTCCTACCCCATTCCCTTTTACCTCAACCCCCCTTTAAATAAGTGGCAGGTATGTTACTTGTGGCATCTCTGTACACCCCCTAAGTTGGAGCCAGAGGACCACCCCCACCACACCTGTGCCCGCTCAGAGGGTTGTGGCCTCTGACCCTCCTCTCCATTTGCAGTTAAAGAGTTGGGTTGTCCTGGAAAATGGGCCATCAGAGGAACCTCAGAAACTCTGTGTGTGTTCATGTGTGTGCATGTATGTTCACACGTGTGTATGTGTGTGTTCACTGCCCACCTAAGGTCAGTCCACCTTGGGATGGACCAAGGCCTTCTTTTTCTCCCATCTCACCCCTACCCTCGGTACCCAATAGAGGGGCCAAATGCTTGACCCTCACTTAGACAAAAGTAACGAGTTTATTTAGGGTGTCAGGCTGGTTTTGCTGCTGGACTGGGGCCTCGCCCCTTGCCCTGGATGGTTCTGGAATTGCCTGGAGACCTCCTGTAAGCCCCCTTGGCTCTGCTTCGTTTTCTCCACATAGACCCCAACTGTCATTGCCAAAACCCCCTCTGGGTGCACAGAGATGCCCGCCTGCTGTGGTTTCCTTTGAACTCCACAGAACCTTGGATCTTCCCCATAGATTCTTTAAATAGACAGGGCAGGGGGTGGTGGGTGATTTCAGGGGATGTTCAGTTTGGATGCCCTTCTCCACCTTTCGTAGACGGGGTTTTCAGGGTGGAAGGAGGAGTCGGGCATCTCCCCAGTCCTCTGACTCTCACCAGTCCCGAAAGGGAAAACCCAGCCCACAACGAGGGGGCTGCCATGCAGTTTTGGGTCATGAAGTCAGGTGGTAGGTTTGTGCCCAGGGAGTCTTCTCTGGATCTGAAGGTCCCGTGGTGCCCCCTGCCCACTGTGGCCCCTCTCTCAACCCATTGCTCACAGTTGGGACTGTCACTGTTCACCCTGTCCTATTCTCACTCATGCTATCTCTTGGGTCACTGCGTTATTTCAATCTAGTGATTGTTTTTTCTTTTTTTTTCCATGAGTGTGTGCCTTGTCTCATAAACTAACCTGTCCATTTATACTTAAAAAAAATGTCTTAAAATGTTTTTAAATCTCACATCTGTAGCCCCCAGGCCCTAAATCTCTATTTCTGAATATCTACAGGGAGTGCCCACTCAACGGCCTCTTGACCCCCATCCCAGGGGACCTAACTTATCCTGTGTGAAAAGCAAGAGCTGCATGCAGAGTCCCTGTTTCTGCCACGTGAGCTCCCATTCACCTCCCCCTCCCTGGGTTCAGCTTCAGTCTTTTCTGTGCATTTTTAGTTTTCTCTTCAATTTCATCATCTTCTGATCAGATCCTGGTCCCCACAGTGGCCCTGCCTCTGCCCACACCATCCTGTCCCCACCATCACGCGTCAGCAAGCTCTCCCTGCCCCAGAGCCTGGAGGGCTTCACCGCTTGAAGTCAGAGAATGGGTTTCTCACCCCTCATCAGCCAATGCAAATGTCTCCTTCATCCTTTTCCTCCTGCCTGCAGCTTGTGGTTTCACCATGCACCCGCTCAGCTTGTGGCTGGACGTCTTCACAAACTGCAGACTCCCAATCTCCAAAGAGATCAGAAGCTCCCAGAAGACAGGCATGGTGTCACAGGCTTTCTGAACTGAGTTCAGGCTGTGGGCTGTCTGCCATTCCCATGGTTCCCTGTGTCTACCTGCTGGAGACCATACACGTTTTAGCCGAGGTCCTTCATGGGCCTTGCAGAGAAGATCACAGAATCCCATAGTTCCTGATCCCCACGTGAGGCAGAAGGGTCCAGACAGCAGTACAGAGAGTCGCCGAGGTGCTCCTAGGCTTGTCCTCCAGCCTGGCCTGCTCCCCACCCCGTAGACACACGCACCCCTTGACGGACAGACACTCCCTGCTGTCCCGTACTATTCTGTTTTCAGTTCTGTCTCAGGTCTGAGCAATCCGGTGCCTACTGGGTAGTAGGCCTCATGAGGGGCTCCCCACTCACGGACCGCTCCTCGAGGCTTCTGGGCAAGTCAGCTCTGACCCCTGGCTCCAGCGGGCGAGAGAGTGGATGGTCACCCGAAATCAGAGCAAGGGAGAACCGGCACCCTCAGTGGCCTGTCCCTGCCACCCTTCACCAGCCCCCTGGGCCACCTCCTCGTCCTCGACCGCTGCCATCTAGGTTTGAATTCTGTCTCCAAGTTGGAAATGGCTCCAGCCATTCAGGACTGGAATTGGAGCCCTAGCAGGGGAAGAAGCCATTTGTAGCTCTTATTTTTTATGCTGCTGAGCAAAGCAGGGATCAGACTGAGCACAGCTGTCAGGAGGTGTTTGTGATAAATCAATACAGAGCCCAGGGTGGGGAGGAAAGGGGAATGAACAGGGAGCCCAGGGTGCTGGGGACAAGGGCCAGGTATGGGCCTGATGCCAGCTCCTGAGTCCATAAGTTAAAATGAGCAGGGAATGGGGAGGGGTGTGGGGAGGGGAGAGAGACAGAGAGATATAGAGAGAAGAGTCAGAGAGATAGAGGGAGACAGAGATATACAGAGAGGCAGAGAGGAACAGAGAGGAAGAAAGAAAGAGAGAGAGAGGAAGATAAGGAGAAAGAGATGCGGTGAGAGAGAGACAGAGAGACAGGGATACAGAAGCGGGGTACAGGTTGCACCCCCCATCATGGAGGAAAGGACTTTCAGAAGCCCCATTTAGATGCGGCCGATCATCTCCCAGCCTTGATAAGGGCACTGTCCATCATCAAGGAGTCGGGAAGAGTGTTTTCTCGCCTCCAAAAGTATTTTCATTTTTTAAGAAGTTCTCATCCTGGCTCTTCTCATCGAGAAGCCCACGCTGGCTTCCCCGGGCATTGTGAGCCACAATGGTTTCACTCTCTTTTGTTCCACAGACACAGAACTGTTTAATTCTCATCCTTTAGATCAATACCTGATGTCATGTCACCCAAAGCCATTATTTTTACACTAGGAAAGAAAAAAAAAGAGGAGACTGAGTACAGTCTAAAGAAGACAGAGAGAGGAGGCAAAACCCACTGCTTGGGAGGCTGCAAGCAAACATCCTGTTCAGAACCATCCAACCTTAGCATCACCCAACTGGCTCTGTCTGTCTCCTGGCTCTGGGACAAAAGTGCCTGGAGGGGAGTCAGAATGAGAAGGAGAAAGATCCTTGGGAAAAGAACACACCATGACCCCAGAAGGGTTTGTCTGATAGCAAAGACCATCCCAAACATCAGCCCGCACGATGAGGGTTCCACTAGGACCAAGGCCTCCACACCTCGCCTGACCCTCTCTCCCATCTCCCCACGCCTCTTGCCCTCCCTGCTCCCTGGAGCCTCCCCTCGACCTGCCGCACACTCAGCCCTCACATCCTCAGAGGCATCCTTTCTAGGACCTTTCCCTCTTCACTGCCATGCAGTTGTCGCCTCTCTCCCCTTTGACCTCCATGCCATCCCCTCCTATGAACTGCAATCCTGCTCCCTTCACTGCTCTTGTTCCCAGCTTCCGTGAACCCTGGGTGCCAGCTGGCTCCCCATTGCCATAGCCAGTGGCCCATCTCCAGTCCTGCCCTCTCTCTCTTTTCTGTCGCCTTTTACCTGTCGTCACTCGGTCCATGAAATGGTCTCTTCCATCATCATGTCCTGTTTCCACCCATCACTCCTTTCCCAGGTGCTCCTATCCTTTCCCTCACCTCCAGTGACTTCCTAAAGAACAACCTTTATCCCTGGGCATCCCCGCTGCTTCTGGCACTGTGCTTGGCATTTCGGAAGAGCATCCTATCTCCATGGCTTGAACATCCTCAGTGCTCACTCATTTCCTACAGGTGGGCCTCTTAACCTTTGGGGACCCAAGAGGCCCCTCCCCAGAAAAAGGCACACCTGTGCACAGAACTAAATTTTGCAACCATTTCAGGAGGCTCATGGATCAATGGGAACCTATCTGTAAATCCCTCAGTGTAAGGGTCTGGAGGGCTAAGACAGTTCTCCAGGGAGGTATCACCCTCTAGCCCCAATACAACTTCCCAGCCTCAGTTTCCTCATCTGTAGAATGAGACCAGTGACAGAGTCACCTCAGAGGGTGTGTGTGAGCTTGAAGGTGCATGTGTGTAAACCACATAGCTCTGCCCCACACAGATCCCGTGTCTCAATCCTGACTGGTCACACCAACCCACCCTACACAGACACATTGGCATCCCTCAATGGGCCTGGCTCCTTTCAACCAGGGAACCTCAGATGTTCCATTCTGTCTGCCTAGAATACACTCTGCTGGAGAACTCTCACTCGTCCTCCAAATCCCAGCGTAGATGTCACCTCCTCTCTGATGCCTTCTTGGCTTCCAAGGCTGTTGGCCAGCCCGTCCTCAAGGCTCCTCGGGTTATTGGTGCATCTGCCTGTGCACTGGAGGGCTGTATCCTGCTTCTGACCTCCCTGGTACTCGGGGCCCAGCACAGAGCAGGTGTCCAGTTTGTGAACAAAGCAATGGGGATCTGTCTGTGACCAAGCGGAGATGCCTAGGGCAAGAGTCTGGGGGAACCGCCCCATGTGACTTCTCTTTCACCTGATGGGGGCCTAGATAAAAACTATTGGGTGTGCACCATGTCCATTGTCAGAGGCATCGTTTATTGTTATTCACCTTAACATATACCTGGCCCTGGGCCAAGAACCACACTTGTATTATGTCGTTTGATCCTCACTCCAGCCCCCTCAGGAGACGTTATCATCATCACCCAGTCTCACAGTGGAAGAGACTGGGGCTCCGAGAGGTTACACACCACCCAGACTCCCATCCCTGATGCCAGACTCCCCTGCACTGCCTGTGTGCAGGCCCCCGTCTGCACTCCTGGTCAGTGCCCCAAGCCCTCCAGGCCTGGCCCCTGCCTCCCGCTCTGGTGTTACCTGCATTAATGCCAAGGACCCTGCGTGCTGTCCCCC